TCAGTGGTTTTCAAAGAACACAAGTTTGCTTTTTAATGTTTCTTTTTTTCGAACTCTCATTTCTAAAAAGAATAAATTATCCCGAACAAATGTAATAAACAAAAAACGCTATAAAAAAATGTTGGTTTCCATAGTATTTACACGGATACATGAAAAAAATATCACTGATATAAATAAAAGTAATATAATAAATTTTTTTACAAAATGCAAAACGTCAACATGTTCCCAATGGAAAAATTCAACAGCAGCTAGGTATAGAATAACTGTTTACTTTTTTTTTAGAGTATATTCACATTTTTGTGTTACAAAAAATTCGTTGAAATTATAAAGTTATTTTTCATTTTAATAAATCAATGAATTTTCGTTTGCGTAAATGAAACGCGCACAAAGTCGAATTCGAGTCAGATGTAATAAAGCAATTTCGTGTGCAACTGTGTATTTTCAGACACGCGCTTATCGCTCTCAGACAGTATTACAGACTCAATCGAGGATCCGATGTTCAGAGTAATATTTCTTCGACGTACAGCTTGAGCGTTTCGCTTTCTCGCGCTTTTAAAATTTCGACGTTATTTTTCCGCGCGCTCTTAAGTTTAAGTCGGAGAAAAAGTCGACGACGATAAAGGCCGGCGCGAGAAATTTAATGGAATACGTTCGCTCGAATACATGTCAGAAAACGAGTGGAAAGATGTAGATTAGATGCCTGTGCAATAATCTCGGAAATATTTTTCCGTCGAGAAGGATTCCAATTTGGTATCCGCGCGACTTGCGTCCGACTCGGTAAAGGCGAGTTTTTAATTAAAAACATCATCTTTATTGTATGTCTACGTATGTTACTTGTACACATATACATCGTGATAAAGTCGCTGTTGGTCGCAAAATTTATCCGTATCCTGAAATTCGGTGAAACATGTGGCTCGTTTAAAAAACTCGTCGACATCACGTAGCTGATATTTTGTTTGGGCTTGCGCTCGATTTATGATGTAGGGACGTTATGGGGGTAACTGCAAATTAGATTCCTGGTCGCTTTTACGTTGAACCAAGTCGCCGTTTTGCATTTAATGTCGATAACGAATACAAATCCTCGCGAAATTGCTCGCCAAGTCTATTCAACGGAATGAATGAAACAGGATAACAACGTAATTTTCTCGCATGATATTATGCGGCGATAATCTGCAATAATACACGCAAGACGCGATTCGATTAACCCACAGCTTGCCCCTACAATTATTGTCGATACACCATTCACGAGTTAATTTTCAGAACAAACGAATAAATTGTTTTCAATTTCTTCGTTAACGATTTTAACGATTAGATGATAAAAATCATTCATTAAATGGATGCAGTTATTGAGACTGCATTTTTCTTGAATATTTAGAAACCAGAGAGCAGTGTTTATTTTCATTATACAATGGGAAAAGAATCTAATTGCATTAATTAGAATTCACATTTTTCTTGTATATTTAGAAACCAGAGAGCAGTGTTTATTTTCATTATACAATGGGAAAAGAATCTAATTGCATTAATTAGAATTCATCTAGAAAATAAAAAAATTTTCTAGATGAATTTATTATCTAGTTGAGTTGAACAATTCTAATTGATCAAATCTTCTAGATCGTTCATTTTTAACTAGAAGTTTTTCTCAGTAAAAAGAATATAAAGAATCGCAGTAATTACATGAAAAATTAAGTCTCGGTGAAATGAAATGGTTTTCATATTATAATGTAGTTGACAATGTGAACAAAAGATGTTATAGAAGCAGAGCTAAACACTCATATATATAGAACTCTATACTAATGGAAAACTGAGTCCTGATGAAATGGTTTTTACATATAATGTTGTTTATAATGTACACAAAGGATATCATAGATACAAGATTCAATAATGAATAATTTTTTACTTATGTATCAAAAATGTAAAACATGTGTGTTCTGTAAGCACCTTTGATATATCACAAACTATCTATATTCAAAAACTATCCATTATTGAACTTTGTATCTATGACATCTTTTGCTCACATTATGAGTTACATTATATGTGAAAACTCATTCATTTCACCAGGACTCAATTTTCTACATAATTATTGCGGTGTTCTTTCTAAGTTTATTATAAATATCAATATAAAAATTAATGTACTTTAAAGAATAAGTTTTTGTATACTAAAAAAAGTTAATCATTGTTAAAATCTGTCTACCGCATCACAGGAAATCTGACTCATTGTTTTCATAGTTGGATACAAGAGTCATACATCAAGAATTAAATTCGTTATACAGTCTCTCAATGGATTAAAAATGATTGAAATAACTTTGAAAAATAACTTTGGACGATATACTTTTCGATCGTGATAAACGTGACATTCAGATGATAGCGATAGGCATTTTTTTCAACGACGAAATTAATGATCGCTATCTATCTGACTGATTTGACAATTTGTATTGATCGTTGGAAAAAAATAGGGTGCTACAGTTATCGTTCAATGTTACGATTATTCCGATAGAACTTACGTTTAACGAGTGCGCGAAAACACTTTCGGCAATCGAGCGAGAACGGGTAATTAACGAAGGGCGGAGCGCAAGTTATTTATTGCATTCGGAGTCGGATACTCGCACCGAGTGATCCGACTTGCTACGCCGACTCGCAGGCGCGGAAAAGATGAATGGCCAATGGGGCAGGTGGCGGTAGAACTTTCATTCCCGTCACGGCCTTAAGTCTTAAGAAATCTTTCTGAGATCCTTACAATACAGTTGGGAGCACCCGTGTCAGTTCGCATCTGCGAGAAATAGATCGACTTTCTCCTGCCATGACCGGCTGGACCGTATTACGCGACACTCCGGCGATTACATGAACAATAAATCATAGGACGCATGTTGTTTTAAATATAATTTATGGTACAGACAGATGATATAGCGATGTAAGATCTTTAAAAAGTACGGAGGACAAATTAATATCTAATTCTAACTACAATCGTCTTACAATTCCAGATCTCAATTTCGTTACAATACTTTAAGATCTTAAGATAAGACAATTGCTTCCCCTTTTCCTAATTTTAACAAAAAACTTAGAAAACTTCATGATTTAAGTTATTAATTAATTTAAATCGATTTAAATATATCTAGTGTGATCAATATATAGAATAATTATATAGAAAATCCATAATAACCAGTCTGATTTATAAAAAAATATTAATGAAAAAATAAATGTTAAATTAATCAAGGAGTATTTTATATAAAATAATAAATATATAAATGTCGGAATATTACGTGTATTTGAATTTTATAAAAAAAGAGAATCAAATAATTATGAAAAAATAAATTAATGCAAAATTAGTCAAAAAACGCTTTTTATGATCAAATAAACGTAAATTATAATATAATAATAGAATATTATACATATTTAAATTTCATGAAAAAGGAAATAATATGTGACTCATTCTTGAATAATTTCGCAAATTATTTGGGCGAATCTCGTATAGCTTCGGGCAAACTCCGAACGGTAATTACACGAAATATCAGGCTTTTCGCTCGGATAAGCGCATGGTCCACCGAACTTTCTGAGTTCCTCTCGTCTGGGAAGAACTAAAACTCTCGGAATGATATCTAATGGCCGTCGGCCAGAATGCTAGCGAATGCATCTCGTTTCTTCATTGCCGGGCTGAGAATGGCAATAGGAGAAGTTGCACGATTTCTATGACATTGCGGCACGCCGGAGAGGCTGTTGACATAATCGAGGAGATCCAGCAGCTTCCGACCGAAGTTTCTGCCGCCGTCGTCCGCGAAGTTCGCATAATTTCGCTAACGAAATATTCCCGCTCATTCCCTTTAATTTCCATAACTCGTTTATCGACCATTCAAGAAGAAGAAGACCAGAAGAAGTTTGGGGATGCTTTTCGTTCCAGATTGTCTTTTTCGAGAAGTAATCAAGAAAGACAAGTTATTCAGTCATTTCAAGGCCGCGAATGTAATAGACCTTCATATGAAAGCTCGGAAAGAAAAAGCCGAATTAAATGGCAAGGAGATTATTCTTCTCTCTAAAAATCTTTCTTCTTTAAAGAAATATCATTCTTATTAAGTTTGTTTTCCCTTCTCTTTTCTTGGAAAATTTTCTTCCGAAATTTTATTAAAAAATATCAGCAAAAATTTTAGTAAAATTATCAAACGGTGAATTTTTTCGCAAATTTTTGAGCGATACGCAAAAGTTTGCGAGAGACGCAATTATTATTTTAAACGTAATGTTTTATCAATACGTGACGGTATCTTGAATATTTTGTTCAGTCAGATTACTGCACCGGAATGCATGCTAGGAATATGTATGGCGCTTGTATTCAGTTATGCGTAAAAATATCACGAGTGGTCGCCATTCAGTCCCTCTCGACCGTAAAACATTCGATTGTGATGATAATTATGATCACGTAATGTGTGATTAAGTCGATAACGAAATGTCGCGTATAATTATTAACGTTACCGCATTTAATGTCATTCTACGTGAAATTATTGGATTTTCATGCTGAACTATTAGTACGCATGATAGACGAAGATCGATCAGGATTTATGCTATCAACGTTTCGCGATGGTTGCAGATTAAATCTTCCCTTTTCCCTCAGATGATTAGTAGCATAACTTTGCACATTCATGTATTCTAATGAATAATCTGTCACAAATAAATTCATGTTAACGCAAAAAATATGAGAGCGCCAACAAATAAATATAAAGAATATCCTATGGACGAAAGAAATGGCGAGTTTACTAAAGCGAGAGCAAAATCATTGCGTCGTATCATGAAAAATGTTAACAAAATAAAAAATATTATTCTTCCATTTATTTAAAATTTTTTATTGTGACAATATTGATTTAATATTTATTAGAAAAATATTTTTTAATTAAATTTTTTGAAAGTATGTATTTCTTCAAAGAATTTAATTTTTCTGCCATTTCCTTTTTTCACAATTTCATTAATATACATATAACAATTTATAAAAAGAAATGATGCATGTGAAAACGAATCACCTGATAGCATTGAATATCTCGTGGAAACCAGTGCCCTGATGGCTGGCGACGTCGCACGTAGGTAAGGGATGCAACAAAGGCAGTCGATGACAGAGTACGCTGTCACTATTTCTTTTGCTACTTCCATTGCTGTCTCGATCCCGATCATTTTGAGGCAGAGGTCCGTTGCTGTTATTAGGTGCCGGGCCCAAGCCTAGGCCCAATGGAAGACGCGGCAGAGTGGCGGGTCGTGTTAAGCTCCCATAAGCCGTTAACGCTCCTCTGGGTAAAGACGAGTAGCAACGATTCAGCGGTAAGGTGCCGAGAGTGCTGGAGGCGCAGCCGCTGCTGCCAGATCCAGAACCTGAACCTGAACCTGCCGTGAAATTATTTTATCAAAATAAAGTCGAAATTTTACGATCTTAAGATTCTAGAATATTAAACGAAAAATGATGGACCGAGAAATGTTCAACACAAAAAAATGGAGAAGGCCGTATACGATCAAGACAAATCTTGAGTAATGCTTTATATTTTTTTATATTAGCAATTTAATATTATTGATTAATGAGCATTTGTTATATTAGGTGCTTTCCATTTGGTGACACAAATCAACACAAATATTATTCTATTTTCGTTCTTTCTGAATGTTAAGAAAGATAAAATGATGTTAGTGTCGATTTGTATACCAAATTGAAAGCACCAAATATAACAAATGTTCATTAACATTGATAATATTAAATTGCTTATCAAATTATTAGATATAGTCTACACTGTAAAAAAAGAAGAAAAGAGATAAAAAAAAAGAATTAAAAAGATAAGTATAATATATAGCGAAAATTAAATTATGTTACCTATGAAAGAAACGCAAAATGCAAAAGGTAAAAGAAGATTTTCAATGTTCAATATTCGTTGCAGGAATATTCGGAATCAAATATTAAAATGTCGCGCGCAATGCGACGATCACATTTTTCTTGTTGCGATTGGTTTAAAGGAAAAGTTAAATAAGTCCGCGTGAAAAACCTTTATGATGCAGAGGGGGAGGAGGGGGGGGAGTACGAAAGATGGGCGAGAATAACGCTAAATTGAAAAAGCGAGAGATGGAGTTTATAGAGGGTGGTTTGTTCTTTTCTACGAGCGAGCAGCATGATGACGATACGTAACTTTTTATGAGGTAGATACCTTACACAATTTCCACTTGTCTTATCGATAGTAACCTTTATTAAAGCGGTATATACAGAACATAAGCGGTGGTTACCGCCATGAGTAAATTTGTTTAGAAGCTTCTTTACAGCCGCAAATATACTTCTCGGCCACGGGTAAAATTGAGTAATTCTGTGAGCACGCAATATCGTTATAGATTCTCTCGACTTCCTTATTTGAAATGAAAGAGTTGATTATATATATATTTTTACGCTAAAATATATTTATCACTTTATTATTTTATGTACGTTATATATAGATATGTATAAACATATCTAGAAATAATATTTTAATATATAATTTTTAAGATTCAAAAATTAAATTATGTTAATAATTAGAAATTTATTTTGCTACTTTCGTTCTTTTTTATAATTTTTTATACACGTAATTTATTTTATAAAAGAAACCAAAAAATTTTATTAAACAATAATCAGTAAAATAAGAATAAAATCTTGTAATTTATGTACATAAATATTTTTAAATAAATAATTCAATTATATATTATTATTTTTATATAATGTTATTTTAAATAATCTGAGAAGAAAGTAGAAGAATAAAAAAAATGTTTGAATATTTTAGAGAGCAGCGAATTCGGATATCAAATCTCATAAACTTCTCCGTTCTCTAGTTTCATAAAGTGGCACCGATTCTTTTCGCCTCTAGGTGTCGATTTATCGAATCGGAGCGCAGATTTTGGTTACAGAGCGAATTTTATCAGCGTTAAACTCGTAACGCGGTAACACGTTGTTCTGTAATCGAACCCGCTATGTAACGCGATCAATCAACGACAGGCCACGTAGGACGAGTTATCCGAGTGGGAATACACCGCCACGTACGATAATCGTGCCATCGCGTCCGGTGCATTGCAACGAGCATTTCGTAATTACTAATTAAATTAGGGAATGTTTATCGCTATTTCGAGAACGCTCTGCCACCGCATCCTTTTAGAATTACAGTTGAATGCCACAAGCAGAAAAATATTACAATGTTATACATTCTTTTCTTTAATTTTTTTTTTTATTATACTGTTAATCACTATTACATTTCTGTTTCTAAAATATTAGAAATATATATCACAAAAAATTACTGTAATATATTCTGTTATAATATGAAATATTGCGAATAAAAATGAAAGCAACGAGAAATATGATTTATGTTGCTAAAAGTTTAATTGATTAAGAAAAATGAGATATAAAAAATTTTAAGAAAATAGTTGATAAAATTCTCAAATTCCATTAACGAAAAAATAAATCTGACGTTGAAAAAGGCTAGCCGAAACGTATGTTCTATATTCGAAATCAATAGTTAAACTATTTGGAGTTAATATCACCTGAATGTAAATATGACAAATTAAATATTACTTTTGGGATACCCCAAAAAGTTTGCATTTTATCACCGTGTTGTGATTCATTGCTAATATCAATGTTTCATCAACCTCGCATTCACTTTATCAGGGTAAGGAGCGCACTGATATGAAATATTACTTTTAATATAAAATTCAAGCACACTACGATCCCAATTCTTTATCAACCTTTATTTTTCTTTATTTCAATTTTAATTACAATAAATAATTAAAAATAATCTTAATTGTTTTAAATTGTTAAAATAAACTCTTTTTCTTTAAAATAATCTTTTTTTTTTAATAAAGTTATAATAATATACGTAATACGTTTAAATTTCAACTACTTTAACCAGTGCTACTCCTCTTTTATTTTGACTCCTCCATAACTACGACGATGCCGCACCGGTAATGTTAACATTGCTCCGGATATTCAACGAGGGATGTGCTGTATGTACAGTCAAGCTCAAATGTGGATTTCACAGTACGGGATTGAGCGTTGGCTTAAACTCCTTTTTGGACGTGATCTCATCTGGGACGTGTATATCGGTCGGGGAAAATTAGATATACGGGAAAATTCGAGGAAACTGTCTCGCGAGATCCAGGATGAATATTAATTCGTAACACTCATCGCGACGCGTCGCTTCATATCAACGTCCTTCATTTCGATGGAATTGATTCATTAAAGCAATATCTATTCTGGATCAAACTAGTGCATCGCTCATTAAGTTCCTCGATCAATCCTATTTTTTCTCTGCTCAATTTTAGAATCTTTATATCTTCATCCTGTTACATCTCGTAATTTGAAGTTTTTGATCCTTAGTTCGTAAAACTTGCGAATTCAATAGGTTTTTGGATCCGTGAACCTTTTAGAAACTTGACACTTTTGGATTCTCGAGGAACTCATCGTTAGATCCTCGAATGCTTAAACTTTCGTTTCTTCAGAATTTCTACATTTCAGCAAAAACATGAATATACGACAGATGCTCGAAAAATATTCTCCTAATTTCTTTTCATCGACATTTTATTTAAGTAGCAATATATCGAAAGAAAATTACGATAATTCCAATTCTTAACACTTTTCGTAAATTCCGTTCGAGAATAATAAACGACAGCAGACAGACGATTTAGTCAATTGGATTTCAATGTCCCGTATCGTTTCCGCCTCATTCAAAACTTCCGTTTGTTTCTGGTTACCGTGTGTACGTGTAAGACGTGTGTGCTTGGCCCAACCTTCCCCGGATTAATTACATCTCCTCTACTCCGTGACGAGAAAATCGTGTCCACCAGCCAGGAGCAGGAATTTCTGTCTGCTCGCACAGGCAGACAGTA